TGAAAAGAGGCTTAAAAAGGAAAAACAAAAAATATATATATATTGAAATTTTAACATTGCAATTTCGTTTTTGTTTTCTTTCAAAAAAAAATTGCTTTAGCATAAAATGTATTTTAAAAGAATATTTGAAAATTTTGCTTACTATAATTTAACAGTTTCGAACAGCAGCTTTGAAAAATCGTTTTTTTTTTTTTCCAAATGTTTCTAGTTTTGCTATACGAAATGCGCGGTATGAGAGATGAGGATTTTTTTATTTTTGCTTCCTAAACTATAATAGTAATAGAAAAACTAAACAGCAGGTAAAAATATATAAAAGATCCATTTTCTGTCCATTTTTGTACCCTATACCGACAAGCAGAAGAATTGCTGAAGCTGAAGTAAATGGATGTATCAACGCCAAAATAACCTCTACTAATAATGTTGTCAAAGCAACCACCGGAAATCAAAGTACAGCAGAAGAAGAAGGAAAAAATTGCAGATTTTTATATGGATTAATGTCCTGAAATGACAGACATCCTTCTTATCCCAGTTTTGCCCTCTTCTGATCAGGTGGACAATAAAATGAGCAACAGGAACCAAAAAAGTGCAGAAAAAAGAAACCGACTATTGCAAATGCCGTCAACAACGGCCTGCAATAGCAGCTCTTTAAGGGCATTATAAAGAACTCTAAAGAAAGGTTTTCTTTTTTTGTCAGCAGGCTGTAAGCAGTGGAAGCAACAACAACAACAGCAACGATGACAGCGACGATCGGTGACAATAAAACCCATCGATTGGTTTTCTCTCTGTCCAAACAACGCTGTCTCATCACCTCTAATTCCTTTACTGCTTCCTTTTTATCGTTATCGTCTTTACAGCTTCTCCGTATACCGATAACAGCAACAAATTGGCCAACAACGAAGAAAGAAATACTTGGAGAATTAGGCAAAGAAAAAAAAAAACGAAATTGAAAGGAACAAATTGAAACAAATCCCTGTCAAAATAACTTTTTTACTCGGCTCAAAACACTATTCAGTGAGTCACTGTAAATTTGCTGTTGTTGTAACTTTCCTTTTTTTTTCTTTTTTTTTTTTGTTTTGTTTTGTTTTGTTTTGCTATGGTTCTGTTTATTTTATCAATTTTTTTCTTTGATACTACCAGAAACTTTTTTGAAACAAAAAAACAATAGCGTCAAAAAAACTGAGGAATAAATCAATGTAATTCAAGCTTCAGTTCTGCTTCCTTCTAAAATACTTGCAGATTGAGACATCGCGACTTTTAGCTGATAAATCACTAATATTCAAA